GGGGGGGGGGGGGGGGCATGATATATAGCTACATGCCCTGGACATTTAATATCTCGTAATCCATCCTTCCCTTTCACACCTCTCAAGATAATGACTATATAACATCGGCCAATGAAATAGATAGTAAAATGAAACACTGGCAGGTGGTAAAGTAAAATATAAAGAGAGCATTACAACCTGCAAAATTGGAACCACACAGCCAAGATGTTAGGGGGACCTGGGAGGTGCAGAGGCTCATCTACCTAAATGAGGCAGGAAGAAGGAAGATGGCAGGGGCAGAGCTGACTTGAAAGACTCTCAGGAAACAGTGATGTACTGGGCTTTAAAATTAAGGGGAAAGGAGTGGGCTTGTGTGTGTGTGTGTGGGGAGGTCCCTTTAGACCAGGCAGAATTCTCCTGGGCCCTGCTCTCATCTTAAGTCTCAAACCGGTAGCAGGAAACTCACTGCACTGTGGTCCTGAATCTCGCTGTACCTCCGGCCTCGCTGAGAGGTGAATCTGCTCCTCTGAGTGGCTTTGCAACCCTGGAAGGTATGGAAGCCAGCAAAGCCAACCCAGACTCTTGGTACCAGTTTAGGAATAAGATTTGTGATTGTCATGCTCATATCTGAGTGTTTATTTAAGGTTTCAAAACATTGGAGTCAATCTGCCCTATTTGGTTTGATTTTAGTTAGAGGAGTATGAGTGGTAGGCTACCTGCAACGATGGCTGTAATAATTCCTGGTGCTCACCTTGGCAATGGGACTTGGCTATCCTCCCGTTAAGAGGTGGAGTCTAGATCTCCATTCCCTCGAATATGGGCTGGCCTTGAAATCTGCACTGACCGATGGGATGTGATGGAGGTAATATTGTGTGACTTTAGAGTCAGGCCTCAAGGGGAATTGCAGCCTCTGCTGTCACCCCCTTGGAGCAGGGCCTGGAGACCATGATGCCATGAAGATGCCCAGTCTAGAACACCAGAGGATGAAAGGCCACATAGGGCAGACCCGAGGGGCCTTGCTGACAGCCAGCGTCAGCTGCCAATCCTGTGAGTGAGGCCATCCTGGGCCCCTGGCCCAGCTGGGTTGTCAGATGACTGCAGTCACAGGAGTGACATAGGCAAGACCAGCAATGAACCTTCCAGCTTATCCCAGCCCAAAGTGCTGACTCAGCATCCTGGCCGTTACTTTAAGTTAGTTTTCAGAGGCTTATTACACAGCAATAGGTAACTTAGACAATTCAAAAGGACCTAAGTTCATAAACAGCATTTGAGTATTTAAGAGAACTGATTTACCATATTTATAACTTTAATTTATTGAGGTATAAGAATTGCTTAACTGATTAGAAAAAAAATACGCTTGACTTGGGAGAGGACCCTTAGCCCCCCACTCCCTCTCTATTTGTAAAGAAAAAGAGAAAAAAGAAAAATACATGCTTGTTAGATGTGTCTCTTCTGCTGAGAGTGTGAGGTGTTTCAGAGAAATAGCTATTTCAACTCTGTAAAATGTAGTTTAAATCTATTATGGAATTTAATTACCTAAGTTTGTAATTGGCATTCATTTTTAGAATTAATCTGTTCAACCTGTGAGTTAATTAAATATTTATCAAAGAATAAGTGAAAGCAGTTCTTATTTTTATACAAAATTTAGTAGATTTATAAATAAAAAACTAGATTTTCAAATTATACTTGGATGTTTAAGAAAAACTAATTCTTTCCTTAATTTATAAGTTTAATAAACAGTATTAATTTAAATAAAAGCAGCAGTAGGTAGCTTTTCTCTGCACAAAAGCCCCTCCCTCTTCAACATTAAAAATCCTCAACTGACAATGCCTAGCGCAACATTCCTACAGGAAGAGTTGGCATTCCACAGACTTCCACCCCTGTGTTTCTGTAGGTCCCTTGGCCTAGAATAATGCCCCCCAACCTTTGGTACCCAGCAAAATTTTACCTTGTCCGCAAGGTCCTGCTGAAACTCTATGAGGTCCTGCCTGTCTCAGTGCGAATCATGCTTCTGTGGCCAGGCCTCTCTTAACTGAAATCACAGACCAAGCCCTGATCCATATTTTTTCTTTTAATTTTTAAAATTGATTTTAGAGAGAGAGGAGGAAGGGAGAGAGAGAAAAACATTGATTTGTTGTTCCACTTATTCATGCATTTATTGATTGGTACTTGTATGTGCCCTGACAGGAGATCAAACCTGCAACCTTGGCATGTTGAGATGACACTCTAACCAACTGAGCTACCTAGCCAGGGCTTCAGGCCTCTCTTAAACCAGGTGATGGAGGGCTGTGAGTTATGACCTTCTCTACCCTGGCTGCCATGTGAGAACAAAGCTGAGTCCCAGCAAAAACAAAGGGACTGGTACAGATGCCCAGCGTGTCCCAGCACATCAATGGCTTGCCTCTTGATTGGGCTCTGAGACTCTAAGGCTGGCCCCTGCCTCTTGCTGTGTTTTCCCCAGACCTTGCTAGGAAGGGTGTATTAGACAGAATAGTGCTGCCCCAAGATGCCCTCATCCTAATTTCTGGAGCCTGTGAATATGTTACATTACAAGGCAAAGAGGAATTAATGTTGTACATGGAATTCAGCAGACTTTCAATAGGAAGATTGTCATGGATTATCCTGGTGGGCCCCATGTAATCACAAGGGTCCTTGAAAATGAAATAGGTAAGCAGAGGGAGAGGCCACCAAGGGTGAATGGTCAGAGATGCACTGTCACCTGCTTTGAAGCTGGAGGAAGTGGACTATAAGTCAAGGAATGAGGGTGGTTTCTGGAATTTGGAAAAGGCAAAGAAGAGTTTCCAGAAAGGAACATAGCCCTGCTGACACGTTGATTTTAGCTCCGTGAGACCCATGTCAGACTTCTCCCCTACATAATTTGAAGGCAAATTTGTGTTGTTTAAGCTGCTAAATTTGCAATAATTAGCTACGGCAGCAATAGAAAACTAATACACAGGGTCACCCACATGCTTCATTTCCTGAATCAGTGACATCTGTGTAATCATTTTCCAGACCACAGACGGGAACCAGAAAACCTGGACCAAAGTCTGGGCTCAGTCTTCACAGGCTGTTGACCTCGGGCCAGTCTTGGCTGCTCATCTGTGCCATGGGGCAGAGCTGCCTCACCAGGCGATCGGAGCACATAACAGGTTAATGGAGGTAGAGCGAATGGACCGAGTGCTTAGCTCTGTGCTGGCTGGTGCCTAGTGCCCCGTAACTGGTTGCTGTACCAGCTGCAGTTGGTAAGGACTTCTTGCACTGCTGAGTTATTAGAGAAGTGCAAATGGAGAGGTGACCTTGAGCATGGAGGCCTGAACTCATCTCACTGACCTTTCCGGGAGAGGGCACAGGCCTTGCTGGTGGTCCTGGAATGTTGGGGGCCCTTGGCCCCTGACTTTCATCTCTCCTCTCTGCCCTCATTCCCAGGACCAATCACTACCCACCTCCCTGCCGGCAGTATGCCACTGACCCTCTCTAGGGCATGGCGGTGGTGCCAGCTGCACCCACAGGCAAATTCCGTCACCCTCCCCACAGCCCAGTCCAGGGTCATTGTCACACTCAGCGCCAGAGGCCTAAGCGTTTGGGGCGGGTCTCCAACTAGCCAGACTGGGAATGCTGTCTCTATAAGTTACACCTCAAGAAGCAAGCTGCAAGGGGCCAGTGTGCCCCAGGGTGGAAAAGCTGATACTGGAAACTTCTCTGGAATCAAGACTCCTTCTCCACAGGTTATAAAAATATCCACGATTATATTTAGCAAATAGTATGGAAAGGCATAAAAGTATGTTAAAAATCCATCTTCATAGTCTTTGTAAAGGGAAAATATAACAAAAAAATCACCCCCGTTCTTCCACCTGGAAACGCCACCTGGAACTCAAGTTTTCGACCTTCAGATTCCACTCCGTGCCCCCGGCCTCCCGCTGCTCCAGATTCGGTCCCAGCCGCGCCCCGCCCGCCCCGGGGCCAGGAGGGGCGGCTCGCCCGCGAGGGCAAAGTCGCAGAACCGGACGTACCCGTTCCTGCGGGGCTCCGGAGGACCGGGCGAGGGATGGGGTGCGGGGAGCCGAGCCGGGGCGCCTGGCAGCACAGCGTTCCGCACGGCGGGGGCCGTGCCCAGCCCTCGGAGTTCGGT